TGAAATCCAGTACCATAGGAAGACACATAGGTAGAAATGATAGAGAGAGAAGAAAAGAAACCAAAGTACATCGTTGGACACATTATGGTAAGGTCAGCTCAGCGGAGTAATCTCTGCCTTAGGTCTCTGGTACATCACGGCTCATTCTGATACTTTCATTGGTGGAACTTGGGTGATGTTAAGTTCATCCATTCCAAAAGTTGTATTCCTTCATCTCTTATCATGTTAGGACTGACTGTATCCATCAGTGACAGGAATCTTGATCAACTTTGATGGTATCCAAAGTTTTTCTTCTTCTGTGGAAACCAATGCAAAACCCCGACCCAAACGTAACACATGTCCTGGTTTCCATTCAGAAGTTAGTACATCTTTGAAGTATACCGGCTGATTCAGTTCGGCAGTTTTCTCCGTAGTCCAGTGTCTTTCTGCAGCTGTTTGTCCTTTTTCATTGGCATTAAGAAAGTTTAGTGTTAATAAAGCATTATGCAATCTATGTTTGGGGGGTTTTGGGGAGTTTAGTCTTCCAAGCTTGTTTGTTGAGCATCTCCTTAAGTGTTCTATTAGATCTCTCAACCACTGCTTGTCCTGTAGGATTGTGTGGTATACCAGTAACATGCTTTATGTTATAATATTTGAAAAATTGTTCCAATTTTGTAGAGACATATGCTGGAGCATTGTCAGTTTTTATTTGTGCAGGTATACCCATAACTGCCATCACCTCTAGCAGGTGTGTAATAACAGAATCAGCTTTTTCAGAGTTAAGAGCAGTAGCCAATTGGAACCCTGAGAATGTGTCTATAGTATGATGCACATATTTCAAATTTCCAAACTCTGCAAAGTGAAAGACATGCATCTGCCAAACCTCATTTCTCCGAATGCCCTTAGGATTACAACCTGCTCTCAATGGAGTTTGATTATAAAAGGACAGTTTTTCACTACCTCCTTGGCTTGTTGCCAAGTGATGGAGAAGTCCTTTTTCAAACCTTTACTATTTACATGATTTTTTATGGGAGTCAGGAACTATGTTAAGAGGTTCTGTAAAATCCATAAGCACCATAAGAATTGCATATAATTCTGCCTTCTGTACAGATGTATATGGACTTTGACCTACTTTACTTACCTCACCTGCTTTATAACCAGCCTTACCTGATTTGTAGGCATCAGTGTAGAAGGTAAGATCTCCAGAAATAGGAGATTGTGTTACAATAAGAGGAAGAATCAAGACTGTCTTGTTTATGAATTTAATTCTGTCAGTTTGGGTATAGTTGTTGCTAATCGGTCCCAAAAAGTCAGTAAGAGCTATTTGCCAATATTCATTATCCTTCCATAAGTAGGAAATTTCCTCATTAGTTAAAGGTACTATAATTTCTGCTGAATCTTTTCCAGCCAGTTGATGAAGTCTTAATTTGCCCTTTAAAATTAAATCAGAAATATTTTCTATATATATCTTTAACTTTTTATTCTCTTTATGTGGCAGAAATACCCACTCCAATATAGTGTCTTCCCTCTGCCTCAGAATTCCAGAAGCATATTCTCTGGATGGCAAGATGACCAGAATACAGTCTAAATCAAGGCTTATCTGATCTACATGTGCATCCAATATTCTGTTTTCTACCCATTGTAGTTCTTTTTCTGCCTCAGCAGATAATATTCGTGGACTGTTTAGGTCCCTATGAACTTTAAGAGCCATTTTTAAATGTTTTAAGTCATGACCTTCTACCCCAATAATCGTCTGTAATTGAGAAATTTCTCCTACCAGCTTCTGAAGACTATTAAGACATTGATAATGATCCCTTTTAATTTGAACCTTCTGTGGCCTGATTCTTTGTAAGTCTGTCTTATAACCTAAATAGTTAATGGAATCTTCTCTTTGTATCTTTTCTGGGGCAATCTGTAATCCCCATCTAGGCAGAACTTCCTTCACCATGTCAACACATATGTTCCAACGTTTCCTTTTTGGAATCTGATAAGAGAATATCATAAATGTAATGACAAACGAGGGATTGTGAAAATTTTTTACAAATGATTTCCAAAGGTTGTTGTACAAAGTATTCATATAAAGTAGGACTATTTAGCATCCCTTGAGGTAAAACCTTCAATTGATATCTTCAAACTGCCTGTGAGTTATTAAAAGTTGATACAGTAAAAGCAAATTTGTCTCTATTACTTTCTTGTAATGGTATAGTGAAAAAACTGTCTTTCAGGTCAATTACTATGATCAGCCATCCTTTGGGTATTAAGGAAGGCAATGGTATGTCAGGCTGTAGAGAGCCCATAGGCTGACTTACCTTATTTATGGCTCCCGGGTCTTTCAGCATTCTCCAGTTACCTGACTTCTTTCTGATAACAAATACAGGAGAATTCCAAGGACTGGTAGATTCCCTATATGTCAAGCATCTAGCTGTTCCTGTACTAACTTTAGTTTCTCAGAGGTCATAGGCCATTGTCCTACCCAAACTGGTTCATCTGTAAGCCACTTCAATGGCAGGGCCTTTGGATCCTCTGAAGGTCCATCATTTGTACCTAGTTTCTGTACAGCATG